GAAGAGATTGAGATTGTTCACAGCTTTAGTTTGCTTGGCTCCACAGTCAACATTCTTGGCACCAGCAGCCAGGAAATAAAAAAACGTATTGCCATGGGAAAGTCTGCGGTTAGGGACCTCTCCGGGGTACTGAAGAGCAATGGTGGCACTCTGGAGACCAAGGTAGTCTGAAACAGGCTATGGTCTTTGCAATCACTTGTTATGCATCAGAGAGTTGGACAATCACTACGGAGGATAGAAGAATTGATGCCTTTGAGCTGTGGTGCTGGAGAAGAGTACTGAATATACCATGGACTGCCAAGAAAACAAACAGATTCAACCTGCAGAGGGTTAAATCAGGCTGCTCCTTGGAGGCAAGGATTCTGGGGCTTCGTCTGACATACTTTGGACATGTTGTAAGGAGGGGCAAGTCCTTGGAGAGAGACATCATGATTGGGAAGGTGGAGGGACGGGGCAGGAGGGGAAGACCCTCTGAGGTGGACTGATTGAGGGACTGGAGTAATCAGGATGGGTGTGTCAGAGGCAGTGTGACTGGCACAGGATAGAGCAGGGTTTAAGGCTGTTGTACATAAGGTTGGTATGAGTCACAAGCCACTCGACAGCACATAACAAACTCAGTTGTAGTTATTGTTAGTTGCCTTCAAGTCAATTAAGTTTAACCCCGTATGTGCAGAGAACTACGCCACAGTTTTCAAGGTTTGACCTTTTGGAAACAAATTGCCAGGTGCCTTCTGTATCCAAACTGGCAACTTTTTGGTTAGTATCTGAGTGCTCAGCCACTCAATGGTTATAAAACTTAAGTAAAAAAAGTGCTCTTTATACTACCAATACTTCTAATTATGAACTATTTTAAAATATATAAAAATAAAAAAAATAGTAAAAAATTGTTGTTTGGGTGCTGTCAAGTAGGAGCAACAGATCTGAAGCTTGTTCCATCCTGTGCTGTCCTCACAATCTCAGACAATCTTAAGCCCATTGCTGGCTGGGCCACTGTGTCAATCTATCTTGTTATGAGTCTTCCTCTCTTTTGCTGATGCTCCATGATGTCTCTCTCCAAAGAATGGCCTTTCTTGGCCACATGCCCAAAGTATGAGAGACAAAGTTATGACATCTTTGCCTCTAAGAGGCTCTTGGGCTACACCTTTTCCAAAACTTATCTTTATCCAAGACTTTTGACAAGTCATGGGATATTCATTACTGTTCTACAACATCACAGTTCAAAGGCATCAATTCATCTTGTCAGCCTTCTTAAAATAAAAATTGGAAAGGTTCAATTTAAAGGATTGATAATTTTTTATAGTTGGAAAAGGACTAGAAAGAGTTGTATCTTAAAACAGGAACTAAGCAATTTTTTGGTTTGTGTACTGTCATATCAGATCTGACAGGTACAGGAGATTGTCCCTCCTTCTCCAGCAGAGCATCTGGTGGATTTGAACAGCGTACCTCTGGAATTACAGTGCAGCTTCTTGTCACTAGGCCACCAGAGCTCACCAGGAACTAAGCATTTTCAAGTGTTATTAGTTAGGCCTGTAGAATTCTTTGGCTTTTGACTAAAAATAATCATCTGAGAAATTGATCAACCATTTCTACATGATGACTGTTATGACAGTTTTTGCTAATACTCCAGTTTTTAAACTCTTATAAAAAAAGCAAACATTTTGGTTTTGTTGTTTAAAAAATTGTTTTCATTTTAATGATCTGAGTTAGTAATAAACACATATACAAAATTGTCTTTCACATTTCCATACATCGCATTATGGACCACTTGAAACTCTGGACTACAAATGCAGGAGGTTTCCTGTATCCTTAATTTCAATTATTGTAACTTATAAATAAGGGTGATTTTTAACAACATGCATTTGTTAACACAGATGCCATAAGTTGTACAACTGTAATATGCACAACCAATAGTGTACATTGCTCATTTGTGCAGTTATGTGCCAGTTGCCACCGACACAGACACAATTATCCTGGGATAGTTTATTCTATATGAAAAACATTCTGAGAAACAGATGGAAACAATAATTTAAGACAAAACAAAATGTATTCTAAAAACACAATAAAATTCAGAACATGCACATCTGAAGCATTCTGGAAAAGCTGCTTCAAAAATCCTGCTGCTATACTGCTTTTATCAGTTTATCTCAAAAGCCATAGGTTGGAATATAGCTATTTTAACGAAAATAATTACACCCATACCTTACTTATCAACAAAATTAGATTCTAAAGAGCAGGTAATTGTGCAAAGACTGGCATTGTGTGAAAATGGAGGATGTCTATACCACTACATAAATGTCAAAGTACATCCTTACATTAACTGCCAAACACTGAGAATCATGGCCCAGCCTGGATGACACATAACAAAATATCCACCGTTATTCTCACTTAGCACCTTACTGTTCATTATTGCCAGATGTACAGTGTTAATGTGCAAACCAGTAAGACTTTATTTTACTATGATCATAAATATGAGTAACAACAGTCAATAAGTGAGGAGTAGGTGTTTGTTCAAAAAAAATAAACTTTTAGAAAGAAAATGAGAATTTTAAAAATTGGGGGAAAGCTTTCAAAGCACTTTGAATCTCATCTTTGAGCTTAAAAAATTTCAAGGTAATCTGGAAAATATCAAAACCCATTGTAAGATTTTTTAAATTTTGTCAATGTTTCTTTTTTATAGTATAATAGTATCAGAAATTTATGAGTTCACTAGATGATCAAATAAATGGAAACTGGGATATAATGAAAATGAAACAAGAGGGCCCTTTTTCTAACCACTAATCTGAACTAGACTGACCATCAACACAGAATGATTTTCTACATAAAATTATTTTCAGATGTCTGTAGGTAGGAAAATCCAGTCTTCTTTGTTTCCTGGGTTTCAACATGTGCTCTATCTACCTCTTGAATCCAACCTACAACCTAGAATATTTCTAGATCTTAAATTTCAAACTTTATGGCAAGAAATGTTAACACAAACTAGCTAAGCATTTTTTTAATGTCATACATGGAGAAGACTAACGTATGGTGGTCATAAGAGTCCCCTTTTTCTCTAAGGCCTGAAGATGATGTTTTTGTCTAAGCAATATGGACCATTTGAGAAAAGACAATGAAACTCAATAGCAGGGTCTCTTTAAGGCAGTATCATAGACTTGGCCTCTGATTTTATGAAAACACATGTTTTACTAATTGAATACAACTGCAAACAGTTTGAGGGCAACTGCAGTTCAAAAGGAAATGGGTTGTTTTCTACAGGAAACAAGAAACATCATGGTTTTCCCTGGGGCTTATCATGAAGAAAATGTGGCTAACTTTAAATGTCTACTTCAAGTTATCTAAATGAAAGGCAGATTTAAAAAATTTAAACCACCAGTGATTCAAGAAAGTAAGCTAGGGGAGTGATCAAGACATATACTTAAAACACTACATTAGAAGATGGACTTCTCTACTTTGCACTTTGGAAATGAGAGAAACCAATTCTTTCCAGAGTCAATACGATCAGAAAAAAATATGGCTGCTTCCTACTAGTCTCACTTTAGCAAAAATAATTTTATGATGCTCTCACTGCTGATATTCTGCATCTCTCATTGAGTCACGTAAAATCAATATAATAGACACTTCTGTTTCAAAAACAGCTGTCCATGCAGGCTTTTATAAAAATTTTTCATAAACAGAACATTTAACTCATGAGAAATTTCCATTACTGAGTATCTTATTGTCTAATAGCAGGTACAAGTACTAAGGATTATTGCTTTTAACAAGATAACCTTCAGAAAAAAGCTTAAACCCTAACTCAAATCCAACTACTATATTGTCACCCAATGCTACAATGCGATTTTCCTCAAATCAAGTCACATTACCCTCAAATCTGTGCTAATTTACAGAGGATTTAAGACTAAGAGGTTGCCATTAATTAAAAAATCCAGAAAGTGGCAATATCCGCATACACGTGTCTTGTTTGGGCATTGAGCAGTGACACTGCTTTCTTGCTAGGATTTATAAGGCACTAAATGGTGGTTAAAAAAAAAGTATGATGATTAACAACTTCTTTAGAATTCTAAAAAGAGATAGTTTAGAATGATATTAGTAAATCTTTTTTCTCCAAACAAATAAGGCATCCTGTTGGCAAATGCAAATAAAAACAAGGTCATGTTGAACCTAATACATTCACTGTCTGAGCTAAACGTCTTGAACTGCTAACTACTGAACTAAAAGTAAGTTACAAAAGCATGTAGAAAGGCTGGAAAGGCACCGAAGGAGAGCTCCACCACTTCCAGTTCTAAGGGGCCAGGTAAGCTATGTTTAACACTGCAAATAGTCCAATTATCAATTTTATCCTTAAAATGTCGCATGTGGTTAAATTTTTACTTCAACAAATCAGTTCATCAAGTGCTAGTTTAATAAGAAAATTATTTTCATGAAATTAGGAAATTATCGCAGTGTCTTAACACAACCTCATTTATAAAGCTAAACTAATTCTAGTATGTAATGCATATTCTGGATAATACTGAAGTACATCAGCATCAACAAAACTGATTACCTTAAGGTTGTTGTTGATTGCATTCTAGTTGAGCACGATTCACAGCGACCCTATGAACAAAAGGCCTGAAGCCCCTCTACAACTATCAACATTTGTCAAAGTTCATAGTTTCCGGAGGGATACCTTAAGGTAGAGTTTATAATATAAATTTAACATATAACTAAATATTTACTGAAAATAATGAAAAGTGTATTACAAATCTATCAAACATAATTATAACAATATTTTCCTTGTGAAAAATACATCTATTAGTGAGATAAAACGTACAATTGAAAAAAATTTCCCAAAGGAAAAAACACAATATAAAGGAAAATATTTTTCTTTGAGATAGGGAAAAATGGTATGTCTTTTTTTTTCCAGCACAATACAATTTGACACAAAAAAGCAGTTTTAGAATTGCACCAACTCCATATCCAGTTTCCTGAACATGTTGAGAGTAAAAGGAGTCCATAAACCAGAATGCAGTTTCTGAATTTTATATTTTAAATTGGTGATATTCTCATACAGAATGTCACATCACATCACATCTGTTTACACAATGTACACTATTTTCCATTTTGTGGCCAGATATAAATGTAAATGTATACTTTCTGCCACTCCTTTATCATTCTGGTGTTTAGCCAGGGTGAAGAAGTGAGGCTGGGACTGGGCAGGGGGAGAAATCAAGTGTTATCTCTCTAGCAGTAAAGAAAACTTACACTTAGTGCATGCTTCATCATTTACCAGAAAACATTTCTGAAAATAAAATTCAGTAACCCAATAGTTTACAAAATAGAAAAATCATTCATTAGAATAAAAATGTGTTGGAATATCAATCTGCTTCTAAAGGCTGAACTTCCCTGGCCCCTGAACTTCACTGTCTTTCAGCAGGCATCTCAATGGGAATCCCATCATCAAAGCAGGCACTCCTGCAGGAGGTCACTGCCTGACATGCCATTTCCAAGACCTCTCTTTAATCACCTCCTCCAACATTTCATTAGTGCTATGAAAGAGATAGGATTCCGTGGAAACATTAAGAACACTTCTGCTGTACATGATTCAAGAGTTCTCCAAATTTTTCAAATAGATCCTCCACCCATTTTACATTTTTCATACAAAGTTGAACAATTTCTTCCTGTCCTAAATCTTCATTTTTTTTCTGCACAGAAGAAATCTAAAATAAAGAAAATTGCCACATTAGCGTAATCTGACACTTCATATTTAGGTTCTCTAATATGAAACAATGCTTATGTATCTTGAACATGAGGAGATTTAGTAATTCATTTATAAGTGATTAAATTTTTACAAAATTATTTTAAAATATTTCCCATTCAACCTTTGCACAGAGAATGCTTATTTTAAGTACTTTGGATAAAGACTAATTCCTTTATCATTTATTATGCCAATGTAAAACAACTACTCAGAGCTTCAAAAGTAGAGAATACTAAGAGAAAAAAAGTGGCTTAAATCTTCTCAGTTTCTTCCAATTACATAAAAGCTGAATAACAAATTTTGTAGTAAATTTTTCATTTTAAATCACAGTAAAGAACAGTTAGCATATTTTATACTATTGCCTTTACTTTTTCTAATGATAAACAGAAGTTGTCAAACATATCAGGTATAGATTTGTGCCAATTTAATTTTTAAAAAACTTAAGATGCTGATCAGAGAAAGTGAATACCTTTTAATCTGCCTTAGGAAATTAGTTGCAGATGACTTGATGGCACGTAACAACAATATCCTATTCAAAAAGTGATGCAGATTTTAGCAACTTAAATTTATGATACCTAAGGGAGCTCTCATGGCTTACTGGAAAGAAGCTGTGCCGCCAACCCAAAGTCATATGGTTCAAAACCACCAGCTGCTCCTTGGGAGAAAGATGTGCAATCTCCTCTCAAGTGATTAACTGCCTCTGAAAACCTGCTGAAAGGCTAACCAAGAATCAGTTCCAATTCCAAAGTAAGTAACAACAACAACAAAGTTATGATACCTAAAGTTACAATTAAATTTTATCATTCATTTATGACAAGGCATAAGACCCAGTACTTTTCTATTATGGTATTCTTTGGCAAATAAAAACTGTATTTTACCAAAAGTGCCCTGCTCTCAAGATATTTTCTTAAATATACTAGTAAAAATACCTTCGGTTGGGGATAGAAGAAAGAGGCAGTTTCCTACGTAAAAATACTGACTGTGGAATAAGGCAAGTCAAAGTCATTGCTGGGGAGTGGCAATCAACTCACAGTTGACCCTCCAATGAGTTTTCAGAGACTGCCCATCTTTCATCCAAGGACTGTGCAGGGTTTGGATTTGAACTACCAGAAACGCAGTCTATGGGTTAGCACTGCAACTCCCTACAGATGATGCCACCAGAGCTCCCCATGGGATAAGGCAGGCAGTAAAATATCAAAGCAGTTAGGTTATTATAGATGATGAAAAAAGCAAAATGTAGTAAAATATCATATATTATGGTAATGTAAAGCAACCATTAACAGAAAAAAAATCAGTTCTAGCTCTCAAAAGAATTGGTGAGCCTCAGATTATTCTGAGCACAAAAATACAAGAATATCAGAATAATTTCCTAGTCATTATTTACAGGAGCATGTGGGAAATATGTACTCTGAATATATACTTTTTAAAAGTATTAAAAGTACTATGGGTAAAAGTTTCTAGAATGTTCAGAAAACCATTTTTTTTCTTTTTTTTTTTTAATGTGTGTACCTCTGGGATTGCAGTGCGGTTTCCTGCCACTAGGCTACCAGAGCTCGCCAGAGAACCATTTCTATTTTAAGTAAATGAAAGAGAGATTACCTCATCTTTACATATCAGATAAACATGATATTTATAATGATGGAGTGAATGGTACAAAGAATACAACTGTATTTTCTCTGGATCCACAGCAAACTCCTGTAAAAAGAAAAAAGTTTATAGATGCATTTCATGAAACAATTGATCTTTTAGGAAAATATGGAACTAAACAATGACAATCTGAAAATTACTTATTTGAGTATGTACTTTGTATCAACATATATAAGAAGCTTACTTATATATGAATAAATATTATATATTAAAATCCTAATTCCTTTACTAAATATACTACTCAAACATTTAAACACTATAGCAATAGATGAGGAATAATAAAAGCTTCCTATTTTTTCTTATCTAGTCTTGCATGTTTTTCTCTTATTATAACATGTATACTAGTAATTTTCTAATAGGAAGCAAATCATACTATTTATATAGTTCTACAACTCTATTTTTCATCTTTCTAAAGTATGGCTATCCTTCCAATTATTTGTACCTACTTACTCAAAATGTTAATTATGTGAAGATCAATATTACTACTGTTTTCCCCTATACTTGGAACTTATTTGGCATTTATATATATACAGGCAATAAAAAAAAATTTTTTTAAGTGAATAAATCCCTATCTTCTTTTTAACAAGTGTACTGTATGCCACTGTCTGTGTGGTTCTTTACTGAGCCATTCTCTTGCTAGTTTGTAACTGGATAGTTGTCACAAATAATTCTGCAGTGGCAAATGCATATAGTTTTATGTCTTTGTGATTGTTTCTACCTAAAACATTTTTTTTTGCTGTGGAGTTATGGTGCCAAATGATTTTCTAAAATGGCACCACTGATTTACTTTTTAACATGAATGAATGCTAACCTTAATGATTTTGCAGATATAGAATTAATGTGCAATATACTTATCAGCTTGTATTAAAATTTTTTAAAAATACTACAGAATAAGTATATAAAAATATAAGTATTAGATGATCCTTTGCTTACTGGTCTTTATTAAAATATGTGAACATTTGCTACATGCCAGATACTGGAATTTGGCACTGGAGAAAAACAATAAATAAGACTGGGTTCCTATTGCTCAGTCCAGAGCTGCTCTTCATTAACTGAAAAGAATTAAAACTTGACAAAGCCTTGTGAAGTATTTATTTGTTCCAGTGTTTTAAGTTGGAAATACAGTGTGTTAAGTTGGAAATATATTAAAAAACTGGAAAATGTAGATTTGTATCAATCAATTTTTACTTACTTGTGCAGATTTAGTGGTTGCTTTGGAAGTTCGTAGAGTTTTCTTATTATAAGCTTTGCCATTCATTTTTATTTTAGAAAGAACAGTTCCCCCAGTTTTTGCTTTAGAGTCTCGAGTAATTATTGTCAGTTCAGGAAAACTTTCCAAAGCATTCTTCAAAACAATGAAGCAAAATTATTAACATAAGAAGAAAACAAATCTAAAACGTTTCCAGTTATTTCAAAGCACTTTAAAAAAAAAAAGGAAAAAGGTATATGTGTATGTATGTGTGTGTAGGTGTATATATGAAATATATGATTTAAATATATTAAATGACATAAATGTGGAGGGTATTGATGTTGTTAGGTGCTGGCAAGTTGACTATTACTCAGAGAGACTATGAACGACTGAAATCTTGCCTTATTACATATGTCACAACGTACAGGTAGATTCTAGTAAGTACATTTACATACATACAAAGATACAGTAGATATATACACATCAAATTAATACTCATGTAAGGAGAATACTACTGGGGTGTGGTAAACTAAGCATGATCACAAATTCTTTTCACCTCCTCTTTTGAGGACCTAGAGTCCTTGAACTGAGGCTGAATTTATGACCTGCATTAGCAACAGTATGCCATCCTATGGAACTCCTGAGTAAAATGAAGAGTTCATTTAGTAAAACCTCTCTGGTCTTATAGCTAGAGATGAGTAAAGCATGGATTTTTCTCCAAAACATTAGTACTTTAAACACTTTGAAACTTGGCCTCTTTTGTTATAAAAAAGTCATCTGATCCCAGATGATAACAAAAACAGGGAAGAAAGAAGAACACCGTGATGTTATTCTTCTCACTGCTTCCCTTGCTTTTTCTTGAGTGTTGCTGATTGCCGTTGAGTCGAGCATGACTCATAGTGACCCTAAAAATAAGGCCTGAAGCCTTTCTGTAACTATCATCATTTATCAAAGTTCATAGAGTTTTCAGAGGCACGCTGTTTAGGAAATAGATGCCATTCCTGCTTCCAAATTCTTGAGTGTAGATACTCAGTTTTCTTACCATAAAGACAGAATAGCTACTACTGATAGTACAGATAGCATAGTGGACATGTGGCAAACCAATCCGCATTCACTCTTTAAAAGCCATTGGGGGGAAAAAAAGCCAGTGGCACTGGCATTATTAATGGCTTTACCTACTACCTGACATGGAAAGCTACAAACAATAACTAAATGATACTTAGAGCTAAGGGCATGTAATTTTATAGTTTTAGAAAATGAAATTGAGCTACCAGTATAATTTATTACTGTATCACTGAAAGGATCAAAGTATTGCCATTATTTTTATGATTCAAAGATAGTATTAATTTAATATGCCAAATTGTATTATACAAAGATCCAACCTTAAATGCTACTCTTTTATCAAAGTCATGTACTACATGAGCACTGGGTATTGTAGTTTTGAACACTGGGCTGGCTTGCTTTCTTAAACATACCTCCTTCTTGACTTCCCCCCACATCAACTACACATTAGTATGGCTCAGTCCCAGCTAACTTTGTATTCAATCTGACAGCCTTAGTTTTCATCTAGTTAGAATAAAGTCTACACTCCGTTTTATGTGGCACTGGGATATAACAGAGATGTGACAAAGCTCCAAAAATGTGTAACATTGTTGACATCATTTAAATAGTCTCATTTAAAAAAGTCCACCTTCTCCCTAAGTTTTGATTCCTGATGTAGTAATACTATATTTTTTAATAAGCAGGGAAATCGTAAACTACTAGTTAGCTTCTTTGACAAACCCTCTGATTTTAGGTTATCAATTTATTTGCAGAATTCAGAACAAAAATGTATCAACAGGCATAATTACATATATATCTTTTACCATTGGGTAATAATCTTTCCAGGATTGAATAAGTAAAAGGAATTTTGAAAACTCTGATTGCCACCGAGTTTTGCTAATAAAGAAATACCTTGAATGGCTGATCCAAATGAAGATTCAAAAGAAGTCTCTTTCGGTTATCATTCAGCATGCCATCTATTTTTTTCATATGAGGCAAAAGTAGTTCATCTGAAACAACATTAAAATTTACTGGCACAGTAAAAACTATCAACATCAAAACTTAAAATACTTAAATTTTTCAAAACAATATTTTAAAAAATGAAACAAACTTATGATATTTAAATTCATTGTCTTAGGTAAAACATTGCTTTTACACACAAAACAGCTAACAGCGGCTAGTATGATGAGTGGGTTTATACTAGCAAGTGAAAAAGGCAGCTTAGGATAGGATATACTCAGGATCAGAAGGCCTGGGTGGAACCCTATCTCTGCTGCCAGAAGTGATTACAGCTATGTGTTCACTGGACAAAATCTGTGATACTCCCCAGACCTCCCTTACTATCCAAATGGTAATAATAATAATAGTAATAATAATAATAATGATGATGATAATACCACTATTAAAAATCCCCAGCAACAAAACTTAATTGCCATCAAGTGGGAACTGACTCACAGCTGACCCTCTAGCCACCAAGATCATTCATCTTTCTGCCATGGAACAGCTGGTGAACTGGAACAAGGCCCCTTTGGGTTAGCAGTGCAGATCCCGCTGAACTACACTATTAGAGCTCATTAAACTTTAGATTGTTGTTTTTATGTTTTAATGTGGTGATCTGACAGATAACTGACACTCCAGGGTTTTTAGAGGCTGTAAAATATGAAGAGACTGCCCATCTTTCTCCCATGAAGCAGCTGGTAGATTCGAACCATGTTCCTTTGGGTTGGTAGTACAACTCCTTACCAGTAGGCCACCAGAGCTCCCTAACAATGTATTAGTATTATAAAGACTATAAAATTAATCTGACATTATGAAATAATGAGTAGGAACAAAGGATTGCACAAGTAATGACCTTATATTTGAAGTCCATAGTGAAGAATACTAAGGCAACTGCAGTACACTGGACAATTTTATCTTTCTAGAAGTGGTTAAGTATATTAAAATACTATAAAAAATTCTATTTCATAGAAACAGGGTTTTGAGGACTATTTTAAAAAGATCTAACAGCAATAGTGCTCATCTAGGGGTATTATTTACTTGGGTCTTATTCTTGGTTCTTCTACTAGTAAATAAATAAATTTAGGAAATACTTTTAATACCCCATTTAATACCTTATATAAACTAAAAAAAATTTTGTTCTAGGTAATCTCTAAGGTTCACAACTGGACACCATGATCAAGGTGGGTGGTAAAAAAAGATTTAAGTAGCCAAGGATTTAATTTTACTTGGCCCTACAATCACAACTTGTGGAAACAGCAGTCACGAGATCAAACAATGTATTGTCATTGGGTAAATATGCTGCAGAAGACCTCTTTTAATGTGTCATAAAGCAAAGACACAATATTGAAGACTAAACTGTGTCTGATACAAGTCATAGTATTTTCAGTTGCTCTTTATGCATGTGAAAATTGGACAACGAATTTAAAAAAACCAAAGAATTGATATCTTTGAATTATGATGTATATCAAAGAATATATGTACCAGGATGATAGAGACCAGCATATTCCTTAGAAGCAAGTACAGCAAGATTTTGTCTCGCATGCTTTGGACATGTCATCAAGAGGGACTTTTCCTGGAGAAGGCCATCATGAAAGGACTGGGTCAGTGAAAAACAGGAGGATCACAACAAAATGGACTGATATAATAGCTTCAACAATGAGCTAAAAAAGAAAGAAAAAAAGCAATACTTGTAATGGTCATTATTTCATTCTGTGGCAGGTAATTTGATGGAACCCTACAACAATTGTTAAGGTCCTGATAACTTCATAGGACTAAAAAAAGGAATGAGATAGGAATGCTGTCTGATTCTATAGGAGCTCTGGTGCCTTAGGCTAAGGGTTTTATGCTGCTACCCAAAAGGCTGCACAGCTCTAGCAGTCTGAAACCAAAGCTGCTCTGAAGGAGAATGAGAAGGTGTATTCTCTAATTTACAGCCTAGGAAAGTTGATGAAAGACTGCATGAATCATAATCAACTCGTAGGAAGTGGGTAGGTCTGATTATGTGGTAAGAAAGACACTTATGTAGGAACAAGAAGACCGGAATGCTCTTTCTCTGCCACCTGCAAATTGTAGGCCTATAAGCAGGTCATTTATCCTCCCTGAACTTCACTTTTTTCATCCATAAAATGAATCTGTTGTTCTACAATTAAAATAAAAATAATGTATGTCAATGTGTGAAAGAATTATAAACCAAAAGATAGTATGAGCTATCATAACTGAATTATATTTAATACTGGTTATACAGTTTTTATACTTTTTTTTTTAGTTTTTATATTTGATTTTTATACTAACACCACTCATTTTTATAGAAAGGTAACTTAAAGAAAGTAAGTTTATTCATGCTTTTATGTCACCTTTTCCTTGGCTGTGGTGAATACTATAGTAGCTGAAGGGTAAGAAATGCTGGACAACATTGGGTATATTAATTACCAGTTTATTTTTATTACCAATTTTAACCCTGTTTTACTATAACAAAAAATGATCAGAAGATGACGTAATGGAGTATAATAATGTTGATGGAATGGAAATCCAAAATCTTGGTAAATGTTCATTAAAATTAATAAAGTTAAAAAAAAATGTTGATGGTTATAACCCAGTGCATATATTTTAATTAATTAGAAAGAAGCTTTCTGTGTCTTTCACTGAAAGACACAAATAGGGTATTTTAATCATCATACCATTACAGTGACTTCATCTTTCCAAGGACTGGAAAGCAAAGCATATTGACATCAGGACCTGAACTCTAGTTTCCCGTAAATGACAGGTATAAGGATAATAAAAATTGTAGCACTGAAAGAATTTAATAGGTAGTTATAGACCTTTCCTACTAACAGAAACCAACAAAAATACATTTATGATCTAAATATCCAAAGAATCTGTGACAAGATAGAACTCATTTTACAGAATCAAGATATTGGTAAATTTGTATTGACAACATATAGGTATGTATTACAAAAACCATATAAAAAAATAAACATTAAAAAACATTAAAAAAAATCCAGAAAGTACTATTTAGAAGTCTGTACCATTGCTCTTCTCTAAAGCTTGCATTGTGTCAGGGTCCAAGGCAATGCTAACAAGCAATTCCATGTAGCTCTTAAAGGTTTCCTTCATTGCTCTTGTGTTCAAAAAACGGGTGACAAAGGGAGCTGGAGGGTCAAATTCTGGCAGGGGAAAAAAAGGAAATATTAAATTTCCCCTCTTGACAACATAAAAAGTACTTTTCTCTATAACAAGAGTTGACACATGAAAGGCTGTAGACCCAATTTCCTTAAATTCAAAATTCTCCCACATTGCTTTATAAATACTCTGGGTGAGATTTTCAAAGCTGGTTTGCACAGTTGACAGACCTACTTAAACAGAATTTCTTGTAGATGGTAGGAGTAAAAGTGGTGATGAAACTTAAATATATTATTATGTTTAAGCGTCTCAGGTGATTCTAAACCCTAACATAAGCCCAGTATTTGGAAACTTTAGCCTAGCAGGAATCTGCTTCTCTTCTCTGGTCTTCACCACAGTCATGTGTTGCCAGATCATGCCGCTCTAGTCCCAAATGACAAACTGGATGCAGAAAACAAATTTTCTGCAGGAGGAGGCAGAAAATAAAAATTGCAAAACTCCCACTAAATTTTGTTAGTTGGAAAAGTATGTGGTTGTGTTTTATCAAATCAGAACCGACCCTCTTCTGGGTTTTCAGAGACTGTAAACCACATGCGAGAAGAATGCCCATATTTCTCCCCTGGAGCAGCTGGTAGATTTGAATTGTCTCCCTTATTTGAAAAAGTATGGTCACTTAAAATAAGTCCGTAGGTTAATATGTAATGGACTACTTTAAAATAAATATTTTAACATTTTGTTTTGTTATTGAGTAAGTATCAATGATACAGTCTGTATGAATACAATTTTTTTGATACCCAATAAATTTCAATATTGAAAAGGCTTGGGGATACGGTGGGGATGGGGGGGGAGGTATTGAAAACTTCTACAATGTTTACATTTCTAAAAGCACTAAAAATGCTTAACTACTAATGACACCTAGTGGTCATTTAAGTTACTAATGCAGAAAGTGTAAAATTAAGAGCAATAGACAGTCCTGCTAACTGCAAAAATAACACCATACTTTCTAGACATACACAAAGAATTTCTAAATTCTGCTATGCATACTTTTAGTACAACTATTCATTAAGTGGCTTAAAATAGTACACTTAAATCTACTGCTGTACTAGAGAGGGCATTTCATGACTCTTAAGTGATCCCTTGTGTGGTTTCAATGATTAAGTGCTCAATACTAACTGAAAAGTTGGCAACCAAACCTTCCCCAGAGGTTGCTTGAACACCAAATTAGTGATCTGCTTCCAACAGGGCACACTCTTGTAAACCTTAGAAGCAGTTCTACTCTGCAGACAGAACTGACTCAACATCAGCTTCACACTGTTGGAAATCATCCTGGACCTCAACCTTTTCCCTTATTCCTACTCAATCTGTCATTCAGGGGCTGCTGATTTTAGATCCCAAATTGCTCAGATCTGTAACTTTTGCTCTGTCAATTTAAAAGCTTAGGTTCATGGTCTCAATTTATGCCTGGATTGTGATGTCTTAAATTCAAATTTCACAGTGTGACTTCTCCACTTATGTTCCTCTATGGAATTTAACTACACAACCGTACGCCTTATAGCGTTAGCATGACAAATTAGGCCCTCTCGGATTCCTTCATCTTTTCCTATCTTCTTTATATTCTAGGAGAAATGAGGTTCACAAACTTTTTCTGTAAAGGCCTTTAGGGTAAGAAAGTTAGGCTTTGTTGATCACAGGTCTCTGAAGCAACAAGGCAAATCAGCCTCTGCTGTGGGAAAACAATCAAACAACATCTAAACAAGTGGGTGTGACTGTGTTCCCATAAAACTTGATTAAAAACAAATTTGGTCCACAAGCCATAGTTTGCTAATTCTGGCTCTGCTCTACTCAACTGCTCAAAACTTCTTGTACATATATTACATACCAAGCTTTGACAGCCTGTGAAATACGGTGATACAGTCTTTGTTTTTCAACTATTTTAGTTTTCATCACTAATATGCTAAATATCAGTTGTAAGATTTTTGTTATCATAAAAACTCTTTGGAAGCTTTGATAATTTTTCAGGGAAGAAATGGGTTCCAAGATCAAATAGTATGAAAAATATTTATTTCAACCATCTCATTTTATGGGGGGAAAAAAGTTAAGGCGCAATGACGATACACAGTTTATGGCTGGCGTGTGTACCCTCTGAACTCCAAACTCCAATGGCTTGAAACCAACTCATAGATGACCTTCACTGGATTTCCAAGGCTGAAAACGGAATAGAAAGACACTGTCCAGCTTTCTCCCATGTAGCCACTGAAAGCTCTGAATCACCAGAGAGGTGCAGCCTTTGGGTTAGCAGAGCCGCTACCTATAGACTCCAGTACCAAAGCTCCACGTGTGTGTGAATTCACACACACACGGATATACATACATACATACAAACATACATACATACATACATAGAAAAAAAATAACTACAATAGAATACAAGAGACCCTGATGGTAAAAGTCTACCAACTCCTCTGTGAGAGGAAGATGAGGCAGGATTTTTCTTGCAAAGATTTACAGCTTGGAAAACTATCAGTTGAAACAAACACAACGGCAGTGAGTTTTGGGTTTTTTATACAGCATTACCTAGTTTTAGAGTTGATGTTTCCTAGGCTTATGTATGCTTTTCTTTTTTTTTTACTTTATTGAGATCTTAATGAAAGTTTATAAAGAACTTAGATTTCCATTCATTCATTGTTGCACATTTTCCTCCCTCCCCTCCCCACCAAAAAAAAAGAAAGTTCTTTCATTGTTATACAGTCCCTCCCCACCCTGGCCACTTTATTATGCAGCTCTTATTCTGGACTCTTGTCATGTCAATAATACCTAATCATATATTCCTTTTACACAGTTCTCTTCTTTGTCTGTTTCAATGCTGTGTACATTATTTATCCCCTCTTTTCTTAGTTTCCACCCAACCCCGATGTTAGTCCTGTTTTATAATAGTGGCATTATGCAGTATTTGTCCTTTGTGACTTTCACACTGCATAATGTCCTCCAGGATCACCCATTTTGTATATTTCACGAATTCCTTGTTTTTCAATGCTGCATAATATTCCATTGTGTGAATATACCACAGCTTCTCTACCCATTCATTTGTTGATGGGCACTTGGGTTGTTTCCAACTCTTTGCTATTATGAACAAAGCAGCAACAAACATGGGTGTGCATGTATCTGCTTGGGTGGCAGTTCTGGTTTCTGGAGGGTATATTCCCAGTAGTGGAATTGCCGGGTCAAATGGTGTATCTATTTCCAACTTCTTGAGAAAGCACCATACTGCCTTCCACCATTTTACACTTCCACCAACTCAGAAATTTACAACTAGATGATTTTTAACAAACATATGATCTAATCCGTATTTGACCAAAAGAAGTGGGTTTTACTGGCATTAGTAAGGGCAGAACTCACAAAAGTCTCTTTCAAGTTCACTTCCATTCTTATTTTACAAGATTGCATATGTGGGTGAACCACACTATCAGCTAATGTATTCAGGGAGTATGCATTTATTTTCTACAAGTCTAAGCAGAACTTGATTCAGTCAGTATCACTGTTCTTCATTCATATATAGATAATCATTTCAATTTCTCAAGGCATTAATGTCATGCGGAACCCACCCTCATCAGTACTAGAATGAATTTCAGGAGAGGAATCAGACTGGGACGACGAGAACTCTTCTTTCCATTTCTTCCGTTTCTTCGGTGGTGGTTCAGCCTTTACTTTGAGCTGTTTCACTTTGGGTTTCACAGAAGGAGCTTTTGTAGTTGCAGCTTTTGGTGTCGGAGAGTCTGAAGTTTTACTGCCACTACTTGACTTAGCCTGAACAGTTCTGCAATGTCACAAACAGTGAAACCTGGTTAACACCGAAATCTTGTCAAAGTAAAATAAATTAGAAATAAATAAATAAGGGGATCACAAAAAAGAAAGACTATTTAATTACCGCACCAACTCTTCAAAAATAGATTATGGCTGAAGTCCTACACATTTCCAAAGGTGATTTTGTAAGAAACTCTGAAATACATGCTTGTACTACTGCAACTCAATTTTAAGCCTAATGTTATTGAGTTGATTCTGACTTAACAATGGCCCTGTAGTTATTAAGGAGCCAAGAATTCAACGCTATTTTTCTTAATCTCCTTCCCTCTTTATAAACTCATTTTCCAGACTGTATAAACTACAGATAATCAATGGGCTTAAAGATAGGTGCATAATAAACCCTGGTGATAATATTTACGTCCAACACTTAGAACTCTCACAGGCTCTGCTTGATGGAAACAACCTCAAGAAGCTGTATCCTATAAGCTGATCATGAAGATATAGATAATACAAGTCCATTGACTAAAAAAATTTAAGAGTAGACCATTTCCAATAGCTGGGAATTTTAATAAAACTAAGCCTCAGCACTAGATTGAAGGGTAGTTCTATATGGCTATATCGAATTTCTTATATATACAATAGAGAATAATTTCTCCTTCAGAATCATGTTATAGACAACTCAGAGCCAGACTAATGAGAATGCTAAATATAGGGTCCATTTCTCTAGAAATGTATCAATCTCATAATGCTTTCTAAAAATTTTAAATTTGTCACGTATGGATGACACAACCCTGCTTGTTGAAACTGAAGAGGACCTGAAGCGC